GGGTGGGGATCAGACAATTATCTCAAGAGACGCAGATAAACAGCTTTAAATTAATTGGATTTAAGGTTTGGGTGGGAATTATAGGAAATTCATTAGTTAATCAAACATATTCTGAACCCTGTTGACAACTGTAGCTGCAATTAACCGGCAACACTATCCTCTACATCCGCCCTTTATAAGTAACCAACATGCACGAGATACCATGACATGTGACTTCAAGGTACGCCCTGCCTGTACTTGACTTGTGATGACTCTACCAGACCTTCCCCACGCTATCCCAAATGTTTACTGTTACAGTCATGAGTAGATGTGTACCTATATCTACATATGACATGAAACTTGTACCTATATCTACACATATGACATGAAACTTGTACCTATATCTACACATATGACATGAAACTTGTACCTATATCTACACATATGACATGAAACTTGTACCTATATGTACAAATGACATGAAACTTGTAACTCTATCTACATATGACATGAAACTTGTACCTATATGTTCATATGACATGAAACTTGTACCTCTATCTACATATGACATGAAACTTGTACCTCTATCTACAAATGACATGAAATGTGGAATAACTTGCCTACAATGTGTACAATTGGCCATTATAACGCGTGTTTCCGACACAAGTAGTATTAGAAAGTATGTTGTTTCCAAAGTGATCATTTTGTTGATATAATCTGTCGGCATGGGTGGAGTATTGATCAGAGTAGCAGATCCATATAAGAATAAAACCCTCTGGCCTTTAAAATAAATAAAAGAAGAAGGAATAAAACGTACAGAACTTCCCTTGGGACTCGGTCTACTAAAATCTAATTCATTGTTGAAGGCGACCGTTACGGTTTGACGATCAAACCATTTAGGCATAATCTTGTTTACTAAATTACTAATGTCGCACACATAACATATTTGTTTTTTTATGTAAATAAGCAGCTACAAATTGACATTGTGAGTATGAAGATAAAACGTAAAGTAAATAACTAAGAACCTGCCGACAGTAGAATCACAATAAACTTATACTTGTTATTTTCATCAGTGTTTATTATTTTTCTGATAACCATTGCTCACCCCTAATTTCATATCTGCCTCACAAACTACCGTCAGTTTAAATGGATTTATGATTGAAATGAAAGGGGAACTGTGATGGGGTTTTCTATGTATCCTTTATTAGTTTATATACAGAATTACATGAATGGATCATTGAAAATCAATGATGACAACATGTTTTATAAATGGTTCGTTGGTTTCAAAATAATCAGTAATAATTTAGTTTCGGGCAGTTTTTTGGACAATTTATATTTTCGATAAAATCCCCCCCCCCCCCCCCCCCCCCCCCCCCTCTCTCTCTCTCTCTCTCTCTCACTCTCTCACTCTCTCTTTCTCTCTCTCTCTCTCTCTCTCTCTCTCACACACACACACACACACACACACACACACACACACACACACACACACCAGAATATCAAATACTCGGTGTTATCCAGAGGAATAAGTCTGTCCGAAGGTGATTGGGGATATTATTGACTTCTCATGGCCGTATGTTATGAAAAAAGACTATTGTGCGTTTAAAACTATTATTCGACTCTTAGTTTCAAAGATGAAAAAGTGTATACAAATAACCACATAAAACATTATCACAAGGGCTTTGAGAAGGTAACGATCATTGCTCTTAACCAATTGAAGTGTGACGGGGTTTTGTTGTCAGTAAAGGGACTACTGACAAGTACCATAGGACACCCTATGGTAAATATTGAAGAAAACCATTATCTCGATCAATAGAACAACGAAGACTGTTCTTTTAGTGTCAACACAGTTCATTTATTGTCAATACAGATACCATCTCGCCTGAGGCCAAAGAATACAAGATGTATTATCAGTAATAATATCAATATTAACATTGTTATAATCTTTTCAAAACGAATATAACCTAAAGGTGATGATATTTTGCTGAATAACTGTGAAAATGATTTGTCATCGTTGTATATTCGATTTTCACTTTAAAATAAAGGATTCTTTTGTTGTAAACGTGAAGTTAGTTAGTGCCAGGGAACCTTTGACGGAACTAACAGCTAACAATAGGAGAACAATATTCACGCATGTTTGAAAACGTTAAGACTGATTGAGCTACACCCTTTTACCACAGTTGAAATGCACTACAAAATTGTACTATTATGTCTCTACGGAGTGTGGGTCAGTTGACCACTAAAAGATTAACATTTCTTGATCAATTGTAAACTTAAGTATCTTTGGATTTCTCCTGGATGGGTTGTTTGAGCACTTTGGATATATTCGAAATCGTACAAGTACTCTGATAGACAGGCGTTGTCGCGTTTATTTAATCTGAAAATGCTTGTCCCTACCTCTGTGATAAACAACAGCATGTACACGGATAACCTTTACTGCACTCAGTAATACGGAGCCAGGGGATTTTGCCAAGTTTTGTGTATTTTTCCATTACCTTTAACCTTTTGTATTGCTCTCCTTTAGAAGTGAATATTTCATGAACACAAGTCGTGCAGCTGATATTTTCTTTACTTCCTATTCTACGCGACATACACATATTGAGCAACAGGAACCGGTAACCGGAAATGACACGGGCGCATACCGGAAATGTCTCACGAACTCTTTCGTGACAAAGCAACGTCTCGATTACAAGACAACTGATGAATATTACATGTATATACTTTGTGTGAAGAAAGTTAATTGAACCAATTTCCTTCACCGTTAATTGCAATTTCGGCTTTTGATCGCTTTTGATGTTATGACAAGGTTAGAGAAGGGAGTGTGCTGTTATGTAGTTGATTTATGCCTTGGAGAGACACAAGAGCGCAATGCTTACAATAATATCATTGAAGAATATTCAAATACGGTAACAATCTACAAGCGGTCAATGTGTGTGCCCCTGTTAAATGCTCCACAATGAATTAACTAACACAGCATTAAGGAACGTCCGGCACATTTGTGGTCTGACAGAAAGACGTGTAGGGTCCGATCTCATTGTAACTCACACGCTAATATTCGGAGTACACAGAGGTCGGCCTATATTTGTGTCTGACCCTTGACCCTGCAATCTTTTAATCATACACATGAACTTGAAGAAGGCGTTTTCTGTAACGCTATTTAACAAAAAGAACAAAGTTCCTGCACATTCTCATTCTTAATTGTCATGAAAATATGTTTATATTTAAGTTAGTTACCGGTGGGTTCGGATAGTCGAGTTTAGGTCTAGCAATTAAGTTCAGGCATTTGGGACGTAGGGTCGATTGTGTCACATCGAGGACCAAGTTTCGACTCCTGAAATGGGTACGATGTTCTGTTATAATGGAGGAGCGGTGGGGTAGTCTAGTGGTTAAAGCGTCGCTCGTCACGCTGAAGACCCGGGTTCGATTCCCATCATAGGCAGCATGTGTGAAGCCCATTTCTGGTGTCCCTCGCCGTGATATTGCTGGAATATTGCTAAAAGCGGCGTAAAACCATTCTAACTCACTGTTATAATTGCCGCCTCACTCTCGCATTTGCGAGAGATTTGTAGTCAGCTCCTGCTTGCCTTGAGGTTAATTCAAATCAGGTAGTTTTTCCTACACATGTTCATAAACATAGTTACCATTTAAAATATTATCTTTGGTGTTTCTCGTGGCGTATATGAAGATACTAACATGCTATGTATTTGTGTAAACCTTATTTACAAAACACTCTTATTCTTGACGTATAATTTACTTAAAAAACAATTACGTACAGAATACAAAAAATTGCTTAAACAAATTTAAATAAGCTATGTAATAATTATGAAAACAAATGTAAATTTCAGAATTTGTTTCGTTTTATCAAACCAAATATAATGTATGAAAGGTCTAACTGAAATAACAGCTTTTTTGAATGATTTTCACTTTAGGAATTCAGGTGATTAATTCAACGGACAACCTGAAGATTAAAGTTACCATGTTACCAGAAGCAAACAATACGCTACTCCAACTTTACATTAAGGCTTTTACACGAGTAACAGAACCCAAGCATGAGCCTATTCTAACTGTACATTAGGAGACAATCGACAATCTCTTCACATGCAAAATACAATACACCCGTGTCATTAAATCATTTCAATCCAACAAAATCGGATTTTGTTTGCCTGAATAACCTGTGATTGACAACGAGTTACATAATAGTAGGCCGCGGATGAGCTAGCCCTGAATCACCCCTTTCCCCAGGCGAAAAGCGTGGTTAGCAACCACAAACACACCTCCATCCATTGATATCCACCGCCTTAGAAACGCGGCCTCCAGAATAGATCAACACCCTGTGTTCATACAAATACATGCTCAGATAGCAATTGAGGCGCGAGTTTGTTGAACATGTAATCTCCCGGCATTGAAATCATCAATCATATCCGTATTCAACGGACGCTAGCGAGGAGTGAGATTTGGCGTTGATCAATGTAGGGTGAGGGAGTCAAGTTTTTATTGGTTGAGTCTGAAAGCCGTTGAAGGAGGAGCGTCCCTGTACAGTACTGTGCATATATAAGTCGCTTCAATGTAAGACGTGGTGTCAGTCTTTCGCATATCTACCCGTGAAGATCCGGGTTAGAATTGCCGTTAAGCAACCCATGCTTGTCTTAAGAGGCCACAAGGATTTTGTATGAAGACAACTGCTGCAAAACCAGATATGTTTTTTAAATTGAAACTGAGCCTGAATAGTATTATAAGAAAACACCTTACAATGATTTTGTTTGCGGCAGACAATTTTTGTGTGTCTGAGTCATGCTTATCCCCCCCCCCCCCCCCCCCCACCACCACCCCCCACCCCCCACACCCACACACCCACCGCTCAATGGTCGATCCCTAAGCCCCCAACGCATAGTCTGCTGTCTCATTTGACGTGTCCCACTTGTCCCGCTAAACACTGTGAGGCAGCGAACATGGTGTGTATACCAGAACTGTTACCTAGGACTATACCACTCCTGCAGGGACGTAAGCGCTACGGTTAATAATCAATCTATGTCTGTTAACATTGTCCGCCCTTAACATAACCATTTCCTTAAATAATAATCTCCTTTCAACCCTTGTACATTCTCCCATGCCTCTCTCTTTGCAACTCTCCAATGGAGGAATAAAACTATATATTTGTTCTAGCCGTGTCTGACAACCACCACTTGTTTCTGGCTGGTACTGTACTGTCCCTGCCGAATAATGTCGAAATGTTTACATTATGATGATGGCCTATTCAATGCACTGCCCTTTCAATAACATTGTAAAACCTGTCTTTGTGAGGCGAATAAAAGTCGGTATTGTGTTTTGTTTGCTTCGGGTGCTTGCGAAAAATGCCGCCCTTGGAAATATACTATTCTGACAGTTCACGGCCTCGTCTGGCGATCTTGGATTTATGTAGTTGTTGAGGTAGAGAGGATACTTTCCTTCAGTTGCGGTGAAAAGTGGGTTGATACCAATGATGTCCTGACCATGGTGAGATCATGGTTCGCGTTACGTGTGTTTATCACGGCCCTTGAAGCCAGTCGACATTGACAATGAGTGTAAAATTCAAGATGGCGGACTGACATATTTCTAGGAGAATTCCACTATGGAATTGTGGAAGGCTTTATTGCTCTTCGACGAGCAAAATCCACAGCCAGAAAAACCTCCCACACCTGCAAATGTGCCAGTCTACAAGCCACCGAAAACGTTTGAGCCAAAGAAAGGAGATTTTAGTTTCTTTGAGGAATACAACGATCCCCCGAAACCTGAAACTGTTACTCCGAGAACCGCGAACGGTAAAGTACCATTGCGATTGGTAGATCCTAAAAATGCTGACCAACCGCTGAATGGCTTTCGGTACAATGACTTTGTGAAGTTGGATAGAGGATATCTCGCCGAGTTTCCTGATTTGGAAGGTCGAGTGAATTCGACCAGTAACCCAGCGACCTATGGCACGACTTCATCCACACGATCAGGAAGTGTTGCCATGCCTGTTAGTGAATATAACGATGCTGTCAAGGCTCCTTGGGAAGGCAAAGGTCGTGCCCTTGACCTTGACCCTTTAAAAGGTCAACGAACCTATTCGGAGCCTGTGCCGTACATGTACTTAAGGGATTACAAGCAGTACAGAGGACGAGGATCGGATTCAGATGGCAACAGATCCGTTCCCATCATTTCCCGGGAAGGGTCGCTGGCACATAGTGACATTTCTTTGCCCTATTCGGAACCTTATCCTGGCACCAAAGCTCACAGAAGGCGCCATGTTAGAACTAGGAAGCGACAGTATGTCTATATACCTCCACGGGAGGAGGCAATAAGAGAGGCTTCAGAAAGGTCGGAACCGGATACGCCGGAGGAAAGACCTAAACGTGTGTACAATAAACCGCCAAGAGATTACAGAAGGGACCGGAAGCATAAATCCCGTCCCCCTGTCAATAAAACCAGAAGGGGCAGATCGCGTCCAACGGACAGCGATGTGTCAATAGATTCCGATCAGACACCTGATCGTAATGACAGACGTAAACGCAGCGGTAAACGAGAACGTTCAGGTCGTCGTCACGAATCTCGCCATAGGTCATCTAGTCATTCCGGAAACAGAGACAATCGTGCTCCAAGAGACATTCGTTTGAAGGATTCTTCAAAAAGAAGGGGCAAGACATTTACCCAAAAAGCCAAAAAGCCGATAGACCCCAATCGCTATGTGGCACTTTCTTCAAGAGAGTCCAGGCGATCCACGAAAGGCTCCAGAAATGGGCAGAGAAACAATGGAACTTCTACCAAGCCAATTAAACATGAAAAGGGATCCAGTTACGTAAACAAAGTACGTTCAGTGTACAACAGTGAACATAACAAAAGGCGAGAAAGAATCCTGTCTCGCTCCAGTGATGGCACAACAGATGAAGAAGAGGATGATGACACAACAGGGGATTCTGGATCGGTCGATTCCTCGTCAGAAGAGGACTCGTACTCAAGCTCGGAGGTTTGTTTACACGTTGCCTTGGTGAACTAAATTTCATCTCCATGATATTAAACAGTAGTTAATGTTTAATGGAATCCACTGCTTTGTTTGGGTAAACTGACGCGGAAGGCTGTACGGGAAGATGCGTTATAGTCCAAGCGGAACGCGTTGTAGTAGGTTCATAAAGAAGAGTTCTAACAGGCACATTCTTAACAATGAGCGATCCTGCGGTAAGGATGTTACTTTGTATTTTAATGTGATGAAATGCGTGGGAGACTGGTAAATGGATTGACTTTTAAATGGGACTTTTCATTTATATACAAAACTTAATTTTTCACATTAACATATATATATATACCTTTTATATACTTGCGTGTTTCAGAAGTCACTCATTAATGGACACTTGACTTAACTAAGAGATTAAATTAAGTAATTTGTGCGGAACCTCTCTGTTCGATTTACAGACTAATTGACAAATGTAAAAGATCGACTGTACTGACAGAATTGGAAACATATTGACATTTCACTGCAAAAACGTACCTTTCAAATTCATCTATGCTAATAGCTATGTCTATGTGATTAGTCGACACAAAGGGCCTGATTGTACAGTGAGCAAGAAGAAGAACACAAAGTAAATGTAGGCTCAAAGAACTTATGGAAAGTAAACTTTAAGGCTCAGCATAATACAAATGATTAATTATGTAAATATTATTAACTCTCGTGCTTGTTGTAACACTTGAAAACGTGTTCTCAGGTTCTTTTTATTCGTGAATGTATCTGCTTCTCTCCCACACACTCTGAAACTGTTATCAAGATCATGACGTCCAAGAAGATTGCACTTTGACTCTATTGCTAACATTTTCTTAGATATTATCTGAATGTGTTTCCGAAAAATACCATTCTTAAACTAATTTCCAAATTACATTCCTAATGTAGTTCGTCCATTAGTGTTACAATCATTATCCTTCAACCAGAGAACATATGGTCACCAATTTGATGTCCAATACCTCATTGAACCTTCCAAGAATTAGACACACGGCTTGACAACGTTTGATCTGTATGCCCAATAGTGATTCCCGAACAGCTGGAGTCATCCCCCATGCTGTGATGCGTCAGTTTAGGGTCATGGATTAATATCTCCTTTTGTTTGGATTGTTTCTATTTTCATTGTGGCAGAGATACCGGATACCTCTAAGGCCCTAAAGTTCTCGGCTTGACAAATACAACGAAATGCTTATAAAACAAAGCTTAAATCTTTGACTCAATAGTTCCTTCTATGCCCTTGCGACGATGGTGAAGCTTATTTTCCGTGGCAGTACCATGTGTGATGCCTATGGATAATTCGAAATAGTAATCTAACATTCGTTAACTCCACTGTCAGGTACCAGGCAAACTCAACTGCAGGTTTATACTTGATTTGATGCCCCTAAATTCCCACCTTCACAAATGGACTGCACAAATCCATGATACCATTATTTAACTCTTCGTTGTTTTTCACGTAATCTATTGTGCGGGGAATATTACCTTTGAGGAATGAACTTAATGTTTCCGATCTCGCTTTGTATGAGCAATGATGGACAGTAAAGTAATGGGGATACTACAAATGCCTCCGTTAGTATAGAACGTCGCCACAGCTGGAGAATTTTAGCTTCTCGGTATTTATTAACAGCTCGAAATCTCTAATACTGTTCACCGTTTTAACAAAAGCAGAGCATTTTGTTTTGAATTATCAAATACAGGAACATGCTAAATGTAGGTAGCAAATTTAGGTGTAATTTGTTATATTTGAGTGAGTGAATGATTATGGTTTTACGCCGCTTTTACAAATATTCCAGAAATATTACGGCGGGGGACACCAGAAATGGGCTTCACACATTGTACCCAGCTATATTTGCTATATAAAATACATTCGGGTGAGACGCCCTATGTTGATAGTATTCCCTAAATTAAAAAAACAAACTATAATTTAGGTTAATATAAACTCTATGAGTAAACAGAATGACATTTCAATGTTCTTTCGCCTTCATTTACTTCGTGCTTGTTTTGCTCTATCCGTCATATCATTGTTTGTGTTACCATTCTCATTAGCAACAAATAGTGACATCAACCATTCCTCTTGCTCCCTGAACCCCGACTTTCCATCCACTGTATCCTGCTATAAATAAAAACATGTATTCTTTGATCGTCATCAAGCAGAACTGTTGCCAAGACGTCTTTCCCAGCTCAGGGACATGGAGATCTGGACATCTATCGACTCGTGAATGATTCAAGGGATTCAGTGTTCATTTGATGTACATCTCTGCACAGTTGAAGGCGTTCGGTCTTACAACGAACTGTCCACCGAGACATGAACAAAAACTTTGATAGCGATGTGGCTATGCCGGAGCTACTAGTTCAAGCGTTTCCCTACGTCATATTCCTTTTATTTATGCAAATAATTTATCAGCTAGCCTTTTTACAAGGTTACTATGGTGTTAGGATAAATATTTGGTGTACAAAACTTCGCTCTCCGCTCCATTAAACTTGATTCCAAAAGCTCATTTTCGATTATAAGTTATAAACTTACCCACAGATTGTTTCATTTGCCGCACCTATAATGGAATGGTTTGTCTGTATGTCCATACAATGTAACTGTTCAACCACACAGACGTAAGTTGTCGTCTATACTTTTACAATGGAATCGATAAGGCATTATTTACTTGTCAAAGGGGTCTTTTACGTTCAACAATTCGTAACTATAGTAATCACAGTTTCCCAATGACTTGCCGAGATAGGATCTGTTATAAATGTAATTAGATAAAAACCCAACGCTTTATCGTGCACGTATCTCAATATCGGAGTCTTTGGATGAAGAGCTGCATCTGATCCTCGGAGGATGTGTGCATTTGCGATAACATCGCTTCAGAGAAGTAAATATCTGCCGCATTTCAGAAGAAGGTCATCCGTACTCTGATATCAAGTGCAGTTATTGAATAGGTCTAAACCGATCGCCAGATAACAACACATGACATAGGATCGAATACCAAAACAGACCGAAATGAAACCCTTTCCCCCCGGGGTCGTGCTCAATCTAACATGCAAATGAGTGAGTTTGGTTGAGCGCCACTTTGAGCAGTGTTTCAGTTGAATGCGTGAGAAAAGATCATTTTGGTGAAAACAACGAGCAATGGTGCAAACAGTGTAATGTAAACTAATCAATATTCATAGTCGGGGCGAATCAGGATTCGAACCCCACGCCTAGCTCAAAGTAGCTTCAAGTAGCTTAGTAGCTTTGGTACCTTGTACCCATGTACTAAGTTGAGGGGCGGTAGAGTAGCCTAGTGGTTAAAGCGTTCGCTCGTCACGCCTAAGACCCGGGTTCGATTCCCCACATAGGTTCAAAGTGTGAAACCCATTTCGGTGTCCCCCGCTGTGATATTGCTGGAATATTGCTAAAAGCGGCGTAAAACCATACTCTAGTTAGTTGCCGACGTGAAATGTACGTGAATGACTGTAACTGTTAAGCTTTTTAAGTTTTTGCAGTGCAGTTATCTTGAACGCGACGTTAAATCCCATCTTACCTCACCAGGTTCATTCTTACACGATCTTCTTATTCGTTGTTTTCAATGTTCGATTCTTCCGAAAGGAACCACCCAATACGATGACCAATTCATTCCTCATGTACATTGGTCGTATCGTTTTGTTGCGGGGTGTCCTGTTAACCGTGTCCTGACACGGCTCGATACCCGCAGGGGGGAAATGTGAAGCCGATTCGTGGTTTACTCCGTTGTGGCATTGCTGGATATCGCCAAAAACAGACGGAAAACCAGACTTGCATCTTCTTTTATGTTTTTCAGAGCGAACCTTCACAGCAAGTGAGTGAAGGGGATGACGACCCAACAACGACGGAGGGGGACGTCACGCTCAGGAAGGGGGGTAAGGGCAATAGGCGGTATGAGGACGCCGATGGCGCGAGCTCTGTCAACACCGATATAAAAGAACTCCAAGGATCTCATCAGGGCAAGAGGGCTTATTTCTACAATTTCAAAGAACAAGGCAGTCCTGCAGTCATCGAATCAGTGAGTTCCAAAAGGTTTCCAAATTTTGAAACCTTGCTGAATGAGCTCACGATAAAGTTTCAAATAGACAAGGGTGCTAACTTTGTGTATCATTGGCCAAGTACAACACAAATACGATACATTAGTGACTTTAAGTCTCATGGGACGTACATAGTAGCTAGCACAGCGATGAGAAAGGGGCAGCTTGAAGCGGTGTACGGGAAACTTGGTCCCAAACATTGGCATATTGGGAAAGTCAAGCATAATGATTCGCCCTTGGTCCGGAACCCGCTGCCCGAGGAGCGAAGCCCGGCAGTTGGTCAACACTATTCCGACAACAAGAAGCCTCTCGTAGTCTGGTTGGTTTGTAATTCAACGCAGAAAAGGACCAAGGTGTTCCTCAAACCGTCCAGGTATTTTGAAGACTTGATGGCTGGAGAGATTACCGATGCTGTGAACTTGGAACTTCCACCTGCCTGTGCCTTGTACGCCTTCAATAATGACAGAGTGGGGAAAGAGGTAGGTCCTGTTTTAGGTGGTAATTCGTAACTGTCTCATAATGAATTAATTTTACAATGTCAACTGAAATTGTTACAAATGAACCCAAACAATTCTGAATGTTCCACATAGCGACTTAAGCATGTTTGTATCGTTGTTATCATTGTACGTTTATTGTCATTGTTATAGATATGCAGTCTAAGTCAGCTTGTTCGTCAGTACCGGAAAGATTACACAGTGCTAGTGTGCGGAAGGGAGAAGGTCCCCGCCGACTGGGCTTACCGAGGATCTCCGCCCTACTCCAGCGATTCATACCGACCTCCTCTCAGACCAAGGCCAAAATACGTCATAGGTTAGACATGGGTTTTTTCAATTCTAGACTTTCAAATTATTATTGAGATAAATTAATAATTTAATAAAATACCTCTTTAGAAAAGCAGATATATGGTGTTGACAAACCTAGAATAAATCTGGACACTACTCTAGTACGATCAGCAGATCCTGATACGGCAAGGGACACAAGAGAATTACAGTCCCTTATTGCTCTTTATATGCCATCTAAATGTTAAAATGCAAGATAGTTTAGTTTTTAATTTAGCAGACACAAAATATGTTTCAAATTACTGTGGTGTTTTCTGTCTGTGCAATACGAGTGCCTGGGTGGCACGGGATAAAGACGTTGCCAGATCCATAGCGGGAGACCAAGGATGCCCTTGCTAGGATTACGATATTACACATATTCAATGAGGCCGTGTCTTAGCCGAGATGAGGTGAAATGGGGTTTAACGTCGCGTTCAACATTATTGCACTTATATAGCGACGTGCATGTGTGTGTGGCTGCTTGAACTTGTCCGATTTTATAGTGCTAGCCCACAGAGATATCATGCCGGAGTTTAACATGAATACCCCACTCAGACACAGTATACTGACTCCGAGCCGACAAGTCCTTGTTTTAGCCCCTTAATGCCGAGCACAGGCAGGGTAACAACAAGTACCATCTTATATCGTCCATTGGTCGGGCAGGCTCAAGCACACGAGCACGGTGGCGGCCCGATTGCCTGCACGTGATGACATCTGAACTGTTTTGTTCCCCCAGGTGCCGACTCCGCCCCACCCCGGGTGGATATGATACAGATGAACGGCAACAGTTCCCCCCGCACCAGCGGTGTCCAAAACGGTATCCCAGCCTTGAACAGATATGACACTGTCAAAGTTAAAATAAATGGCCGTCGACGAGGTATGGAAAAGGCACAGCAAAATGGTACACGAGCACGGCATGTGGGCACTGCAGCGAGTTCACGCACATATAATCTTATAAACCAGGTTGTCTCTATAGGTGGACAGCTGTTGTCTCGAATTTCAATCAGCCGATGTTCCCCTTTAGGGTAAATGTGACGTCATAATCCAGGCAACTTATGTTTTCGTCATAATTCGACCTTGGTCGGATGAGTCGATACATCGAATAAGTCGACGTGATTGTATAAAAAGTATTTGAGTAACACATAATGTTGTTGTTTAATTCACTCTTAAAATGAAAATCGGCAATAAGTGTATATATCGAGTACCTTGACATAACGTCCGTTAACAAACTGGATGTTCGTTAAAGACGTTGAAGATACAAAACTTTTTTTTTTAAATTTGATATTTAATTTAATAGAGACAAACATTACAGATAGAGATTTCATGGTTAAAGATTATGTGTGCTTACTGAATGTGAGTTGAAGAGGGTTTGAACTGATTGGTTTCTGTTTCACATTGTTTCATAACACAGTAAACTACGTTTATAACGAACACGCTTATAACGAATTGAGGGTTATAAAGAACTTATTTTGTGTCCTGGTCATTTGGTATGTATGCGTATAACAAACGTCGGTTATAACGAACTTATATTACTTATCCCTTTGAGTTCGTTATAACCGAGGTTTTCTGTGTATATTTTTACGGTAGTGAATCTTCATACAACAGATATGATCATATAAATATGTTTCGTTCTCTATCAGTTCAAGCCCCCTTTTTAGCACTGCATGAAAGCAGTTGATGTCAAACAGTCAAACACCTCGCACCTTGGCTGTTATTGAAACAATTCGATTTTGTATTTGCACGTACACGGTATTGTGGACTGAATTACATACTTTTTAATTTCACATTAAGTGTGATGTAAATGCTTCAGAAGTGGGGTGAAAGGAGGTTTAACGTCGCATTCCAGATTACTGCGCTTCAAAAGCGACTAATTGTTTCCGAAGATGTTCCTTGCTTACAATTTGACATTCGCGAATGGATTACTTATAGTTGATTACCATGCTGGCAAGAGATGTTTTATTCCTGTGTGGTTCTGCATTCAGAGTTCTACGCGTCGTACCAGGATATGGAGGACGAACTGGGCAAACCGGACAGAAAGCTCATCCTGGACTGGGTGTATCCTTGCAGTATGAAAGAATTAATACTATTTTAGGAAAAGGGGCCATTGGTCCGTTACAGTCATACATAAACAAAGTTGTGCAAAGAGACGTGAAATGTTAGTGAGTCTGGTTTTATGCCGCTTTTAGCAATATTCCAAACACGAGGCAACACCCACCGCCCTTCGTTAAATAATAGAATACGTAGGTGTCTAATGTTTCTCAAGGAACTTCTTTTACATTTTCAATGCCGGATTCAGGAATATTCCAGTTATATGATGTCTGGCTGTAAATAATAGAGTCTGGACCAGACAATCCAGAGATTGATATCATGAGCACAATCGGGATACGATGACATGCATCAACCAAGCCTGACCATCCGATCCCGTTAGTCGCATGGGTTGCTGAAGACGAGTTCCACCCCGGATGTCCGCGGGTTCAAGGAAGCAATAGGAAGCACATTGTGTCACTGAAGGAACATGTTTGTATCAACTGATATACCCATGAGGATGCTGGGATAGAGTTCAATCCCCATGTCATATGCCTATCTACGAAACGGCTAATACCCAGTTCAGGTTCTTTTGATCGCGGCAGCTGTACCCGACGACGTGGAACCTCGCTCATGATATCAACCACTGGTTTGTCTGACTCGAATATTGCTGAAATATAACTGATTGTTGCGCAAAACAAGTACACTTAGTCATCACGTATCTTAGTCGATTTAATTTGTATACAACAAAAAGTAAAATCCTTGACGTCCTAAGTTACGGCTATCGAGGAAGTGACCGACACCGGAACCTGGATATACTGGACACGTCCGAGTTGGTGTACTACGTGGCCGCAGTCGTCGTCATCTTCGACTGGCACAACCACACTCAACGCTTCTACACTGGCCACAACGAAGACATCACATGGTACGTACTCTTCTCTTCTGAACATTGAGCAGTGTTGAAGGTTTACTGGCCTGTTCAATAATGAGCCTTCACATAATTACACGATTATTATTAATAGGGTTAGAATTTGTCTTACGCAAACCATGCTTGCCGTAAAAGGCGACTGTGCTTGTCATATGAGGTGACTAACGGGATCGGGTGGTCAGGCTCGCTGACTTGCTTGATGCATGTCATCGTATCCCAATTGCGTAGATCGATGATCAGGATGTCAATCACTGTATTGTCTGGTCCGGACTCGATTATTTACAGACCGCCATCATATAGCTGGAATATTGCTGGGTGCAGTGTTAAACAACAAACGAACTAAACAACCAAACAAGACGAGTGTGTGAAACATGTGGTATCTGCTGTGTCAATATATTCTCTGATGATCACAGGTCATATTCGGGATGTCATCTCAAATACATCCCCACATCCCCACATCCCACATACCCATTCTCACATACCAACATATACCCATACCCAGATGTACCTATACCAACATACCTATACCCATGTACATATACCAATCCACATACTCAATAGATCTTCAGCAACTTCGTAAAGCCGTAAAAGGCGACTATAGGTGGTCAGGCTCGCTGACTTGGTTGATGCATGTCATCGATCCCAATTGCGTGGGTCGATGCTCATGATATTAATCACTGGATTGTCTGGTCCAGACTCGATTATTTACAGACCGCCGTCATATAGCTGGAATATTGCTGAGTTCGGCGTTAAACAACAAACCAACCAACCAACCAACATATACCCATCCACATACTCACATTCACCCACACCCACACCCACACATCCACATACACACATACCCGCACCCACATACCCACATAGCCAGACCCACATACCAACTGCTTCATATACCAATGTACTAAAAACGCATACCCACCTATACATTCCTAATTGTCCTTTGCATCAATGGGGGCACGGGTTGCACAGTCGTCTAAAGCGCTGTAATTGTCTGTACAGAGTTGGGGCCTTAGCTAACTACTAAGCGCATCACACTGATGTATTTATCTTTTTCTTTTTTCTTTCTTTTTCTTTTCTTTTTTTTTTTCTTTTTTTTTTTTTTATTAAAACATTTTTTATTAAAAGTAACCATAATGAAAATAATATTACAGCACCATACGGCAAAAACATACTAAAACCTTTTTTTTGTATCATATATATTTTGTTTCAGCCTGACTATACATCCACAGCAAAACAGAGTGGCCACTGGTCAGTTGCAAGGACGAGGGTCGGACCATGGGGTGAGTTATTAAGAACATTCTCTTTGTGAAGCATAACAATTACACTGTAAACTGACTGAGTGAGTTGGGTTGAACGCCGCTTTGAACAGTATTCAAGTTTTATCACGGCGTGTCAGTTTAATGTGGGATGAAAGCCCGAAGTGATGCAGGCCAAAGACGTTTATCACTTTGCTGAAACCCACGAGCACAGGTCTGGTGCTGACAAACCTACACACTGAAGCATAAGAAGGACATTACATGAAAACTAACCACACCAATACGATTCATGAAAGAAGATTCGATAAGAAAGATGTTTTTCTTCAAATGTAAAAAGAAGAACTTAACCTTCCACCATATCCCTAGTGCGTCCTGATAGACGGTGACAAGCGTAGCATTTCTTTGTCAGTCATCAAGTCACGCGTTTAGTTTAAATTTCATTGTTTAACGTTATTATTTTTTCAGGCTCATATTCGGATCTGGGACGTGGACAGTCTATCCACAATTGCACTGATTGGGCTTGGGGTCTTTCAAAACGGAATCACGTCCATTTCGTTTTCGGATTATGTAAGTATTTACACAACACTGACCAGGAGAGTCGGGAGAAGATGCCTCATATTTGTCACCGGGACTATGTACATCCCCCACTGTTCTACAGCAGTCTGTTAGTTATGTCTTAAGTCTCAGGCACATTTCTCATAAAACAGAACAAATGAAAGGTAAAAATGATTGAGAGAGTGTGATCATTGATAAATAATGTTAAATAAAATCGAGACAGATTTGTAATTTGTAAACGTTCAGGTCATTTATTACAGTATTGCTAAACCGTATATATGTAATAATCCATGTGATCTGACCATGCTTTCAATATACAGTTCAGTCGAGTTCTTTCTCCAGTCGGCATAGTAATACTATGCGGCATCAGGCAACGAACACTCACTATCTTTATGCAAAGTGTGAGTCGCGGGTTCTACCAGTGGGGCAGGTCATGCTTCTCATTTCGCGAACACCTGGTGTCATCACTGGTTTTCCATTCATTTCATGTTCATCATACAGTTTATCTTGCCTTTCACTACCAATCTGTTTCGGTGGATAATCGAGACTGGTGATTCTCTGGCGTTGACGTCTTATATTCTGTTCTCAGACGCTGCAGCATGTCGACAATGACCTGATGATGGTGATTGACGATAGTTTCCGACACACAATGACTATCTGGGACGTGCAGACGGAGCGCATGCTCACAAAGACCACTGTAAGTACCACCTCCGTTGCTGGACACGAACCGGTCGGGTTGAGTACAGAATATAAACTGTTTAGAATATCTTCCAGATAACATGCCATGACTATGGTTGACAGATGAGTGAGTTGGGGTTAACGCCGCTTTTAACAGTATTCCATCACATCACGGCGTGTCAGCTTAATGTGGGAGGAAAGCCCCAAGTGATGCAGGTCTCAGACGTTTACCACTTCGGTGAAACCCACGAGCACGGGTATGGTGCTGACAAACCTAGAAACATAATCGGGGCGAACCGGGATTCGAACTCACAATCATAGGTTTCTGGCGTGCCCAAGAGACGCAACTCTGCACAGCGAATTGCGGCGCCTTACTAGATGACTGGGCAACCCGTGCCCCCGGTTGACAGATGAACCAGTTTAGTCCTCCTGCCCGCCACATTTATCAAGAAATTCGGGCTTAAAATCGAGCTCATGTATCATAGGTTTAACTGTATTGTTTCTTAAACATTCTGAAGATGAGAACTACATCAGAGCAAAATAATGCCTGTATTTTGTGCAGTCCGAGTGCTACCAACATATCCTGTATAATGTCCATGTATCATAAAGTGTGAATGTTTTGAAATATCCAGAATGATGATATTTCGGTATACCCCTGATTTGAATTACGATATGTTCTGATCCAGATAAGTTTAAATGCTGTGGATTGCAACACAAATTCAAAACAGTGTTACGTCAAAAACGTGTCTTGATATAGTGGACATATTACCAGACATTAGTATTTTGCAGTTGTTGTGTTATAGTGTGATAGGAAACAATGAATGTCGTGTGAGTTCAACTTCCTGTCGTTCAAACTAAAGACTATCCCCATGTATTTGCTACCAGGTCTTAGCAGCAAAGGTAAGATGGCGTGATGTTGCATGAGTAATGTACCCTAAAACTGAACTTTCATGACAGAAAATATAGCTATAAAAGTGAAATATTTGAATCATGTGATTGGGATTCAGGAGGTTTATCTCCTACATACAAGAATTTATTCAAATCTCACCGTTTCACAACGAGCTCAGTGCCAAGACGATTTGCCATGATGTAATCATAGCACTTGCATTGGGATGAGAACGTGCTCCTGACCATCAACTGGTGATTTGTCTTCCAACTAGAAAATAACCCATTAAAGAGGGTCGATGTTTGTCCTTCAGCTTATTTCTAGTGATGTTTGAGTTGTGAAGGGTACGAACCAATTTAACAGACTGCACATGTCGAAACCGTGATTTTATCCAAAACTGTTGGAGAATTGTAGGACGTAGCATGGCTTAAGTTCAGTTTTAGGATACGCCATACACACATTCATTACAATGTTATATTGTGTGATTTTGTTCAGTACACATTTCGTCATGTAAATATTAATACACTCTGCTGTTTTCATGGTTACAATATTCTGTTCAAATTTCAATTATCACACGAATCAGTTATTTGAGTTGTGTTGTTTTGTTTGGTCTGTGCTATTTGAAGTTCCTGTATTCTGATTGCGCACGTATATGTGCACAGTGTTATTGAATAGCTGAAGTTGACATTGGGGAGTCGCTGCGCATGTCCCTTCTGTCAATTGTATTTGGTCCTGAATAGATTGAAAATGATGAACGTGATGATGAATAATATATAACATTTGAGTAAATAGAAACATTTGTTCTGGGATTGCTTTTAAAGTTTGATGATAGTGGAACAATATCGATTTGTTTGGTGATGTTAAACAATTTATGTTATGGTCTGTTTGATGTAGTCTGAAAGGAACAATCAATTAAACGCCATCTGATATTTATGCTTTAAATTCCTATAAAAACGAAATCGGATTTGAAATATTTCCTAAAGGTAAAACTTCCGAGGTCATATGGTCATGATCTTAACAGCAAAAGTAACACGAACTAACTGTTTCCATCAGGAAACTTATAAATTGTGTTCTATACATATAACGGAATGTCACAATGTTTCCTCGAAACAAAAGTATTTCTCAAAGTACACATAGACACCCTCTTTGTAAATGCAATGACAAGAAAGGTAACAAGAAGACATTAAACTTTAAATGGATAACAGCTTCTTGATTTTTTTGTAACGACGTTTCAGGGTTAATTCTTGTCCCTCCATCGGGTGAATATCTTCCCCCTTCATCCCCTTCAGAAGGGGGAGCAGTAGCCCTGAAACGTTACAAAGATCATCATTCACATGATGGAGGGAGAAATAGTAGCCCTGAAACGTTGTTTCAAAGAGCAAAGAAATTGTTATCCATAAATACTTCCTGTATTCACGTTCTTCCAACTTCGAAATGCCTATAAAAGACAAGAAGGTTACAAAGTGTCATGTTTCCCTCCAGACCAACACAGAGACGGTGACAGGGGGGTGCTTCTACCCCAGTGAAGATGACATCCTCATCACATATGGACGGCAACACCTCTACTTCTGGAGACTCGACTGGGAACACGACCGAACTCCATACGCAAGAATACTCAGGGACAAGCTCAGTGGGTATTCAGAGGTACGTAACTTAAAGGGGGACTTCCACATGGTTCGCTTGGCTTCCAGTCCACATAACTGAACGTTCGGAGTTTGATTGGTTACATAAAGAATGGCCCCTTTGGGTTTCCGGGACAGATTTGGTCCTCAGCAACCAATATGATCATTAACGGCGACCCTGATGGATCGACTTGTCAGGATCGACTTGTCAGGATCGGCTTGTCAGGATCGTCTTGTCAGGATCGACTTGTCAGGATCGACTTGTCAGGATCGTCTTGTCAGGATCGGCTTGTCAGGATCGACTTGTCAGGATCGGCTTGTCAGGATCGGCTTGTCAGGATCGGCTTGTCAGGATCGGCTTGTCAGGATCGATTGATATCGTACCCTGATGGCACGGATCGTTGCTCAATCACTGGATTATTTGGTCGACTATTCACAGCCCGCCTTCATGTAGCTGGAATGTTGCTTAGAGTGGCGTTAAACAAGAATCCATTAGATTGGGAATGTGTTTTTTATTGAACCAATCAGGTAAGACAGTGAATACGTGACACATTTTAATGGACAACAACTTCTTTTATTCTTTGTAAGAAAATAACAAAGAATAAAAGAAGTTGTTATCCATAAAAAATGTAATGGTTTCTTGTTCTTACAACTCAGTTCTAAATGACCCTCAAAGACTTATTGACAGTGTCTTGACAGTGTCTTGACAGTGTATTGACAGTGTATTGACAGTGATAATTAGATGTCATTTGAGCTTTACATTTGAAACTGGGATGTGAAACAACACTTTTGCAAAAACAATTAGACCAATGTGCTTTCACGGTTGAACCAATCTCTGTATACAGCTTGGTTCCTGTGCGAACGTATATCTATTCAGCCAACGTTTAATATACTACTAATAAGAACACCCGATTCTGTCATATTACTATAGTTAATCTCTCATGCAATAACATATTAACTTTCGTTATATGAATAATATCGGGTGTTCTTTAAAATCTTTTAAGTATTATATAAAATGATAATCTAAAATGTGTTATGAGAAACTGTAGCATTGTGTTTAAGTTAAAAAGACTTTAAAATACAGTTACAGTTACAGTTACAGTTATTGTCATCAGGTTGGACATTTTGTGTAGAAATATATCGACATCTGTCATCCAAACGTAATACCTTCATGTCAGTTTCATGATGCAAGCTTACGCCCCCTGACTGTGGCGCGATACCTGACCATCCAACCATGGTATTGTGGGCGGTGAATTCTAATGAACTGTACCTAGATTGATGATATGCCTACATTACACAAGGTATACTTGGACCTGCCGAGATAGAATCGGCATAACTTTACTATTCTTTAATACCTGGTTGTTTTGTTGGGTTGCTTGGTTTGGTTGTTTGTTGGGACAACAAACCTATCATTATATCCAGTCAGTCATTCTAAACAATAGATAGTTTTCAATATATTTAAATATATTATTATAGCTTCGGGCTTTGAAAAAGGTAAGGGAAACAACATTAATATGTAAATGCCACGTCCATTCTTTCATTCTATATTGTGTGGAGTAATGAATACGGTCATCAGCTCCCTCACAATGCCTGCATTATCAGTTGGTGTTCACAAAGCCTTGTATAGCTGGGGCTCGTAACAATTGATCACGGCATCATACGAGACTGTGAATACATTTCTAGCCACAATACAACATTATTAACGTATTCTGTCTTGATTTGTTTATTCGTGTCGTATGTTTCCTGGTAAACACGTGTACAATTGTATGCCAGAATTCGTCAAACCGTTCCATTTGGAACTTTATTGCCCATAGAATGAAAGAATGTCTGGATTGTTCTTCAACATGATTCACCTGAATTGAGTGAAATGCCCACAGCACTTGTGTGTGATGTGTTCTACAGCATGCATGTAAATAGCTAAGACATCTGCACAATGAACCACAATGAACCACAATGAACCACAAAACTATCGGGGCTCCACTTCACAATAAACCACGCCCTCTACATTCCCCCCCCCCCCCCCTGCATGCACAATCAAACGAATGCTAAACTCCCTTTATGCTCCACGATTGGGTATTCTTTGACGCAGAACCATGCATGTAGTGGAACTAATGTGTGCATGTGTGACAGGTCCGTGATGTTCAGTGTGCATGTGTGTGCATGTGTGTGCATGTGTGTGCATGTTTGTGCATGCAGAACCCCATCATGTGTAACGACACGTGACTTTCAAGACGACGTAACAGACAGTATGCAATATTTTTTACCACTGATATTTTAAACTGTTATAGCCCCAAGATAAGACGAAGGTAAGAAACATACAAATAACAATACACTATTTAAACTAATTATCCTAACATTTATATGCTTGGCTTGTTTTCATATTTGTGAATATCGACCCCTTTAAGTAGTGAGAGGAGTTCGAGAGGTAACTAGCTGGGGGGTTGCATGTTTGAAGGGTTTATTGAAAGCATATATTTGATTTATTCTCCTTTAATTGATATGCAAATGGAATTTAGTTGAGCAAATATTGGATTACATGCTTGCGGGCTCCTCTAAAATGTAAACATTTTTTGGATGATTTACAAACGATACTGGGGCAGTAGACACGAACGTGTGGTATAGGAGCTGGTGTCTGTTTCGGACAAGCGACTTGCCTTGCTTTAATACTTGTCACTCGTCAAAGTGAAACCTTTTCAACAATTTTTATCTGATCCTTCCGTGTGGACACTGGGGTCGTGCGTGAATTATTGGCTGATACGATCTCTCCATAATTGGAGTCATATTATATAGCATTTGTAGCATACATCATGCACAGTGTTTGTTCAGTGAGACTGTAAATAGTGTGCATGTGTAAATGGATACTACTACTACTACTACTACTACCACTGCTACTACTACTACAACTACTGCTGCTGCTGCTGCTGCTACTACCACCACCACTACTACTACTAATGTTACTACTACCACTACAACTACTTCTACTACTACTGATGATGCTATTAATAAAGAGAGACATTTAGACATGATATTTCGATGGCCATGAAATGGATAATTTTAAGGCATATTAAATGTTCGGTTTGTAGTGTTTTACCCAAAATGCCTTCTGGATATGACATATTATTATGTTTACCAACTCTAAATCATATGATTTTTAAATTTGACTTTAAAACTATTTACCTATTTTTTATTGATTTGTACGCATAACCCATGTGTACAAACATCTCATAACTGACTGATACACAAACGTTTTATTATTACGCATAACCCATGTGTGCAAATATCCCCAAACAAACAAACGCTTTATGTCTATAATAATACAAATACTTCCACATTAACTAGCTGATCTGCATGCATATTGATTGACGTGCATGACGTATCACTGAATGCAATGAACCACGATCAATAATCAATCTTTCAGAAGGCAGAATCTTTATCTGTGAGCATATAAAAAATAAATTTGTTTTTCACTTGGCGCGTCATTTTGTTTATATTTGACAAATGGCGTGTCAAATACCATGTAGTTTAAAGTTCAACATAAGTACCACTTAGGACCATTGTCATGTGCACCCGTGAAGGTCCAGGTTAGAATTGGTCTTGAGCAACCCATGTTTGTCATAAGAGGCGACTAACGGAATCGGGTGGTCAGGTTCGCTGGAATATTGCCGATTGCGGCGTTAAACAACGAACAAGCAAACATTACCGATGTTCAAGTCGGCATGTATGACCGTGGGTCGTATAAAACACTGCCATGTCGGTACCTGCAATTTATAGTAATCTGACTATTGCAGTTGGGTTTTTTCAAGACTGATGTTTTCATTTATTGCCATATTTGGCATGTATTCGTTATACCTAGAAAGAGTTCAAAGTTCAGACACACTGCATAATATCGTATTTTCTCACTTTCTAAATCTTACAGTTCGGAAGAGTCGGTGTTCTTATATATGACCATCTCTGACCATGTCAAATATTTACAGGACGACATCCCAACCCATTTCACGGCGTTAGCGTTCTCGTCGACTGGCGAGGTGATCACTGGCGACTCCAACGGCTCCATCATGATCTGGAGCCGCGACAACGACAACGTCTTTAGTCTCAGTCGGTCTGACTCGGAGATAAACATACACCAGGTATACAGAATACTATCCTTTTCTTTCAAATTGTACCTTTAACTTGGCTTTGTGATGATGATGTCACATTCTTTATTGGAATCTGGAAAGAGGCACTATGATGAGGAACAAGGTCAAAAGGAACGCCTATTTGATATTATGGGGCTGGTGGAGTGGGTGGGGGTGGGTGACGTCTAGGATTTGTATGAAGACTAGATATTATTTTTCAGTTACAGCTAACTAGATATTTTATTTATTAAAACTATGAGCCAAAGTACATATTTTATATATTTTTTGTGTGGCAGACAATTTGGGTTTTTTCAACAGACTGCATAATGACTTTTTTCAAGCAATTTCTGGGACGATGTATTTTTTTCGGTAAAATCCGGTCCTTTACTTCCACCTGAACGACATGATAAGCTTGATGTGACGGTGCTCGCTTCTGAGACTGATGGAGCGTTCGATTCCCAAAATGGGACCGGTATGAAAAAATTCAAATTTCCTATGACGTGACATTGCTGAGCGGTGTTCACCTTTCTAACTCATTGACTCCCCTATTGGGACATGTTCTACGAAGTTATAAAGGAAGTATGAAATCGAGATGACCCGCTTAGCATCAGGCCCCATGAAAGAGCCAAACATTATTTGTTCTATTAACGCATGAACGTGTGATTTGTGAACGCATCTCGTGTTTCAGTCCGCAATCACCTACCTGGCAGTGCTGGCGGATGGCATGCTGCTGTCTGGAGGCGGGAGTGAGATGTTCCTCTGGGACACCATGAACAGATACAAGAACCCACAAAGGATACAGGTACGTTCAACTAAGTATCACTCAGGACCATTACTTGTGTGTACCCGTGAAAATCCGGGTTAGAATTGGTCTTCAGCAACCCATGTTTGTCATAAGAGGCGATCGGGTGGTCAGGCTCCTGACTTGCTTGATGTATGTCATCGTATCCCAATTGCGTAGATCGATGCTCATGATGTCAAGCGCTTGATTGTCCAGGCTTGATTATTTACAGACCGTCATCATATAGCTGGAATATTGCTGATTGCGTCGTTAAACAACAAACAAGTTAACATTACCAATATTTAGGTCGGCATGACCCGTCTGGAGCAATGCCTTCAAGCCAAGAGCCTTAAAGCAGCGTGACACTGGCCATCGAGGCACCTAACTATGAGAGGGCCATTTTGTTATTTGTTCCTAAATATCACGAGATGTTTGCATTTTGTTACTACTGTGAGGTAAATATGATCCAATGACTGGGATATATGAGCAAATAACTACTACTTCACTGTTGGGGTTTCACTCTGACACAAGGAACATTACCGCTACATATGTACCATCTGAACACCCTTTCTTGCCTTTGCATGTGTTTGTGATGGGTGCCACCGGTGGGCAGGATACGCTCGTCTTTTCGCGAAAAACCTGGTATCATTACTTTTTGATAGTGCTTCATGTGGTAATAGTTTAGAGGTTAACTAACTTGTTCATGCAGGTTAACATCAGCGGGAACATCCAGGCCATAGCTCCAAACCACGCCCACTTTGAGGATGGCGTCATCTTCCTGGGCACCGACAAGAACTGCATCCTTCAGGGACACCTGCACCAAAAGTTCTCAACCATTGTACAGGTGAGATCCAGTGTCATTGCTTCACAGAGCAATAATTACACCAACCGATATTGTAGTAGATCTTGATAGACACATTGTATCATCAAACTGGTTGGACTGGTGTTCTTGACCCTCGGACACCGGGTGTCGTTCCCGTCTGAGCTGGAAGAATTCTGATTTTACAGCAGTCACTTTGAGCGGAAAAGGTTCCCTTTACCAATGATCCTGCAGGATGTGTCTCGTCCTGGGTTAGATGCAAAGAAGGGTTGTACCTTTACCCATGGACGGATACCTTGACAAAGCTCAAGACATGAGATTGTATGTTTTTGGAGATATGTTTTTGCAGCTGTCCCGTTTTATAGTTTCGTCCTCCTTCCAACAGGGTCACAGCGGCGACAGTGTGTCCATTGCCGTCCACCCAAAGGAATACACCACTCATGTGAAGGCCAGAGAGTACTGCTTCGTCACTGCAGGGAAGGATCTGGTCATCAAGTGGTCTGCTTCACAACGAATACCGATCTGGAAGACCAAGATAGAGGTAACACAGCATCCACTCTGTCCCACTGGCCACTGTAGATCACAGAAATGGCCCTGCACATTAAAAGCATTGTGTTCCCGTATGTTTAAACAGCGAACTGTCTCCGTTGCTTATTGGGAATAGTGGGTACTGAATGGTCTAACGGTTGTGTACCTTGATGCTTTAGATCTGTGCTTTGGTGATCATATTTATCACAAATGTATTTGTGATCAGTACGTGTGTTTCCGCTAAGTCGTCCTTGAAAATCCCAACAGTCGCGACAATCATATTAGTAACATTTATACCTGATGTTTTACTAGCCAAATAAACCCATATCTCACGATCAATTTACAAAACCGACACGGCGATGCAAAGTTTCTTTTACATGGCCCAGTAGTTAGTAACAAGGCATGGTGAATCTTTCATCAACGACCTCTGAACCTATGTTAATATTTTAAACTATCCCGCACGATATTAATTATATTTACAGCTGATGTTCACTTCGGTGATTTTCTTGTCACAGGGGGAGAAATGCACGGCAGTTGCTGTTGATCATCATGATCGAATGGTTGCCTTGGGAACGAAGTCTGGCAAAGTCATCATTCTGAACGACACTAACAGAGGCCGTGAAGAAAACACTATTGTAATAGGCGCTAAGAAGATCAACACTGTGGCTTTCTCTCCTAGTACGTCCAGTTGGCATTACATCGAGTTTCAATTCTTGCCTGTCGACCTATTTATGAGTTAGCTTCCTTGTCCATCTATTCTGATTGGAAATGAATAATTAATCCATCTTCCGGTTACAATTGCTGTCTTACATACAATTAAATAATAAGTAATGATTTGTACAATAGCTTTTGTATTGATACTTCAAAGTTCTGTATAGATGCTCGCATGGAACGGAAACATCTGAATATACTTCAATAAAAGGAGCACAACCCATTCAATATTCATACGAGATACCTTTAAAAGCTGAGTCGATTGTATGCTTTCGACTATAGTATGAACATGTGTTTATGATTCACTATCAAATAGTGATGATACGGTGTGTTGGCACTTATTATGTATTACGTGACATGTCATACAAAGTTCATGCAGAGAAATAGTCGTGACAGTAGTAGTTAGTGTGAGTGATTGTGGTTTTAAGCCGCTTTCAGCAATATTCCAGCAATATCACGGCGGGGGACACCAGAACTAAGCTTCACACATTGTACCCATGTCGGGAATCGAACCCGAGTCTTCGGCGTGACGAGCGAACGCTTTAACCACTAGGCTACCCGACCGCCCCAGCAACAGTAGTATGATTGTCCTTAAAGCGCAATTACACACTTTTATGACAACAACAACAACAACAACGAAAACATATAGGATGCCCGTATTGGTCATATTAATGTTTTGAAACATTTGATCAATGTTGATGGTGGTCTTTGTGTGGATGTTATTTTCATAATTAACTAAAAAGTAAAAATACAGTTTGAA